TATGATGAAAAAAGCTTGCTTATATTGTTATTTTATTTCTACAAAATTAAAAAAAAAATTGTTTGATTAAATACATAAAAAATACATTTTTGGCAATATGTATAATATAGGCTGAACAAAAAAATGTTTTATTCATTGCGGCATGGCTGGACAATAAAAATCAATACTTTTCCGGCCTATTATTGTGGTTAAAGACATTGGCAACAGGTGTTATATAAGCGTAGATACATTGTTGTTAGTACAGTCATAGTGGTAGGTTTGAGTGGTTTGACGGTTTATGAGCACGTATTGGCAACTAGATCGTTGGACAAAATTCGGACAATTGAATTTTGAAATTGGGCCAACGTACGTAAATAGCCGCATACGAAAATAGATGAGCTATACGAATTAATAATTATTAGCAAAACAAATCAAATATCGTCAAATTTATTGTGATTAAGATTGTTATATTCCATCATGTAGAATTGCTGAATCGGAAAAATGATTAAGTAATATCTATTACAATACGCTGATATGGTTAATATCTATACTGACTATACCTTTAATATGTGTTTTAATAATTAAAATTAATTATCATTTGAACTATTTTTCACGTATTTTAGGTGACGAGAGGAGAGGGAGGATTGACTGTATCTTAAGTAAATTTTCTAAAATCACTACGGCACTACCACATTCATTTTAATTTGGAAATGTTCCGTGGTAATAAGAGGGAGGAGGGACATAGACTTAGTCAATGACAAAAGGCGTCATTAGCCGTCTGGCTACGGAATGTGGCTAAAATACAGAATTAGAATTTCGCAACCATTTTTTGGCGATTGTTGTAYGTATTATTATTTATTATTATATTTACAACTGAGTTCACAACATAAAACATTTACATACTAACTAAAATATTAGTAAAACATGAATGAACTGACGTTAAGACCACAATGAACATACTACAATGTATGGTGGATGTCAAACAGTTTAAAGAAAAGATTTTGATGACAATGCAAATTGGAAGGTATCTAAACGCTAATAGATATGCCAGAACCGTTTTAGAATATTAAGACTATGTATTATTCATCTTATACCTATTTTAAGACAATGAAAAATGAAAATTAAGAAGAATACGATCGAATTAAAAAATTCATCAAAAAGTGAATAAAAAATAAATTATTATTTCAGAAAACTGATAGTTGATAAGCATAATATTGTGCAATGTTTTCACATAGCAAAATGTGTTGTTATTTCTATCTATACATATTACACCAGTATACAGTATACACCATAATATGCAAGCAATATAATACTAAACTCGTGTTCTACCGACATAAGAAAACGTTTCAATTACTTAATTCAACAATATTTATTTAGAAATTTACTTCAAGGTAGACCATGATTCGAAAATCGATTTGTTTTAATGTATTGATTGTGAGAAATTGCTGGTCACAAAGTATATCACAATAATTAGTATTTTTTTTGATAAAATGTTGAAATTGATTGGTAGGTATTGGAATTTATTGCAATAAATTTCCATGGTGTATTGTAAAGAGTTTATAAGTTTTTTTATGAAAATTATATAATTTAAAAATAAATGAGTATAAAGTATAAGTTAGTATAAAAAATTACATTTAAAAATGTTTTGATGGGTAAGTTAATATAGTCACTACGAAAAAACCATATATTAAAAAACTGACATTTATATTTCATTAAGAGATATGTAGTATAATGTATTTTAAATCTTACAGTTTTGAATAGGTTTATACTTAATAGTAAAAGAATATCACTAGCCCGAGATCGTTTATGTTCTAAATATCAATAATTAATATGACGTGTACCCACTGTACCCTCCATGTTTTCTCCGTCTTACAAGTGCGTAGCATAACAAATTTTACGCTCAGTAGATCACGCTTTGCTTCGTTAGCTTAAAAGTTAGAGTGAATTGATTTCTTATAAAATTTAAAGGTAAGAATATTATTTATACGACCTCATGGGCTTTTAACTATACTTTAATTTTGAAGGGAGTTATAAGTATTTTAAAAATTATAATTTTTTGTACATCTAAAAATACTCATAACTCTCTTTAAAATTTAAAATATAGTAAAAAGCCCATGAGGTCGTCTAAATAATATTCTTACCTTTAAATTTTATAGAAAATCAATTTTCTCTAACTTTTAAACTAACGGAACAAAGCGTGATCTGCTGAGCGTAAAATTTGTTATGTTATGCACTTGTAAGACGGAGACAACACATGCGGGTATCGCGTAGTCCTCTTAAGTAGGTAATACAGATATGTATTCAAGAGGGTATACATTTTTAATATTCCGAAAACTATGTACCTAATAAAAGAACACGATATAATAATGTACCTACATTGCAATATGAATAATATGATTATTGCTATTAATAGTTTAGACCTATATGACGTGTTCAATATCAATTTTCAATAAGTCGAATTACGYGAAGAACAAATCACGTTTTTCGTTAAAAATTGCAGTTGTTGAAAAGATGCACATTTATTTTGTAAATTTAATAAACTTTATTACGCCTTAACGACTCTAATAAAAGTTTTAATTTTGTTTATTGGCTGGTTAATGTTGGGTTTATATTTTCTGTAATATTAATTTATAAATTATATATCTCAGCTTATAAATTGAGATATTTCAATAATTTAAAAAAGAAAAAACAATTTATGCGTGCTATTTCTCATTTTTTTAAAAGCATATCGATCAATATTTAGTTCAAAATCTATATTAGAACTAGGTTACAATGAATTAATTAATTTTGTAACTTTTAACTATAGATTTAACAACTACTAGATTTAAATTATTTCCATTATTGGCTTATAAGTTTTCACTATGTGCTAGTTGTATATTGATTTAATTGTTTTGCTATCAAAGGTATTATTTTTCGTTGTCTAATCAAACTATATGATGCTTTTCAAATGAAATGTTAAATATATTGTAATTTATATCAATTATTATAACTTTATAAGTAAAAATATTACTTTAAATGAATCTTAACGAGTTTGCAAATAGTTGCAAATTTTCAAAATAAGAATTAACTAGGTATAGTGAATTAACTTAAGAAAATTATTGGTATTAATTCCCATTTGAAAATTTAATATTACATAGGTATATTCGGTTTTAGTTTTCAATCAATATAATAATAAAGATGTACGATTATAAATTTAAAAAGTCGGCTTTTAGGTATAGAAATAATTATTACATGCAAAGAACTACTGGTGCATGTATAAAGGGAATCATAGTTATTTAAAGTAACTATATATTATTATAAAATCACTATATAGGTACATTATAATATAAATCATGGTATCTTACGATATAAGTTATATGTTATGTTTTTTTATAACTTAAATATAAACCGTGTCACAAAAATGTCTATATAAAATTACGAATAAATATATTATATGATTACGTACAGGTACTTTACATATTATATTAAAGTATACCTACGGTTATGTGCATAACATTATTTTTTTGCCAATTTAAACTTTAAACTGCATTTTTGTTTTGCTAATGCAGTTCCACACTAGGTATATTATTCTTAATTAGGCAAGTAGCTATCTAGAAAATTTAAATTTGTTTGATTCCAATGGAGTTCAAGATTTTTGTTATCCAGGCCAATCATTCAAAGGAACATGTAGGACATAAGGCCACAATACAGTATTGTGATTTGTGRAGAATTCTCTTGATCTCTATTTTGAATAGTTTTTATAACAATAGGAACGACTTACTAATTACAGGCTATTAGGTAATAATATTATTACCATTTAAGTTAAGTTTATGTGCACATTTTATGAATTCAACCATTTGATGATTAATGTATTATTAAATGCCATATTAATGACAGGCGTTTAACAATTTAACTTGTCGATGACTGTAAGTGTGCGAACTACTTAGCGCATTAGCGATATGATCAATACTGTTTTTCGAAAATTTGGATTAGTACTTGTGTGTTGTATACCTACCGTCAAACTAAACTTTAGAATGATGGTCGGTACTTAATAATAATAATAATAATAATATTAAATATATATAATACCTACATTACATATATTTGGAAATAAATAATTTTATATTGTAGGATATAGGGTGGATGATAACATGACTTAATAGCATAAAATTGAGATAAAGTTATGAGTTCGGAATACATGTAACCCTCGACCCTCCATAAGTTGATAGCTTGTGGTGTACCTAGGGTTTGATAGACTAATACCTATGAATATTGATATCTAAGCATTATATTTGTATACCATTGTGCTTTGTACATTAGATTTAGCACTCAGAAAGTTATCTAAAATTTTAAGCAAGAGTGAATAGTTGTATATTAAAAAATAAAATAAAAATTAAGAAGTTAAAATCTCCCTTCGCATGTCGATCTCTGCAGTTACGTCTATGACAAGAATTTTAATCAGTTTTGGCAGCTGGTGTCTAGTAATAAATAGTTTGTAAATGTTTTCACGTAATATTAAGAAGCGATATCAGCCCTAGACATTAACCCGTGTGTATGMGTGAGATGACGCGGCAAATGGCAATAAGTACAAAAAGTCAAGGTCAGACTTAGGCATTAACCTAGTTGCCATGACGACGCGACAAAATTGATAGTAGCTTATTGGCTGAACGAGAGAATCGATTGTTCCCAGACAACAGAAATATAATATTATATAGGAACCTATCTATAAATTATAATAAAACTGCATCGTCGGCGGGATCGAGCGGGGCGCCGTCAATGAAATCTAACCCACATGGGGTGACCGAAAAGTTTGGTGGAGGGGTGTCGTGTGGTGGCTGAATTTTACTAAGGATGGGGTAGGTAGGCGTGGCCGGAGTCTGGTGGGATTCGTCGTTGGACGACGTCGGCCGTATCGGTGTACAGCAATCCCTCACCAGCGAACGCATAATATCCCACCATCCATTCACCAAAGATGACGTTACCAACTCAAGGGATGAGGTAATGGTAATAACTATAAAGCACCCTGTCACCCACATGCTCACCTTGTTGGTGCGCTTGCCGTCGATGGCCACGATAAATCCCACGCCGCACGCTTCTTTCTCAAGCTGCGGGTCGTACAGACCGTCTTTTGGAGGACCATTCCACGGGTCGTGCTCCGGCACCGTCTGTTCTTGGTGCGCGGCCATAACTGCGTGTGTGGCGGTGATGGATACCTGGAACAACGAGCGTGGAGGCAGATGGTTAGACGACGGTATTGCGTGTTACGACCGAATAAAGCAACTACGTACCCACTAACGAACGCGCTGCGTGCGGATGGTGTCCGTCACACGGAACACGTGCGCCGCGCTTGTTGGTTGTAGAGGTACACAATAGGACCGGACGGGTCGATCGAATCGGCGGGGGCGATGTGTATTTTCCGCTGTCACACCTACGCTAGACTTTTTTTTCAAATCAATTTTTGATATACCGTCGTGTGTGATGGTATCGAGGGTACGGCCGGCGTACGCGACACAACGATGACGGTGTGTGGTGGTGTATTACATTAACGGCGATATTRTTGCTGTAACGGTGACAGGTTAATACTATTATAGCCGGGACGCGGGGAGCGACGAGAAACGGACGGCAGCGATGGACTGACAACTCGTCGCAGCGAGCGTGTGCACAAGACTGAGAGCGTATTGTACTATATTGTCGTAGCGTCGTGCCCGGTGCCGTGGTGGCGTGCTGTTACCGCCGACGGTGCGTTTGGGGGTATTATGGTACTGCACTACTGCTGCCGTCTGACGCCGCAGACGATGGCGCTGCCGATTTTGTGCGTTATCGGTACGAACCGGCGCCGTGCGCATCGGCGAAATCGACCGGTGCCGGTGACAGCGGCGCGCGCAGAGCTCCGCCGCCCAAGCCGGCAGTGTTGCCCCGGCTTCCAGCACGTAATTATCTGCTCCGTCCGCCGCACCGCGGTCTCCGCCATCCTACGCGGCCGCCGACTACAGACCGACCAACCACCCGTTATCATTATTGTCTCCTCTATCTTGCATTCTCTACTTCATGTCTCTGCGACCCTGTGYGACGATTATTTTTCTCCCCTCGGCAGCAGCTCTGTCCATAGCGCGCCTTTAATAGGCATTTGAAATATTCACAAACCACCCGAATGTGCTTATTGTGTKATAGTATTTTAATACTGTGGTCAACACAAAGCTCAATTTTTATTCCCGATCGTGGCATTTTTCACTCGATGCCCGATGTCTGTTATTATTGGTAAATGAATATTATATGATTACCATTTTCCGGAATTATCACGAACTGTACGAAAATCGGTAAAGAAAATACCGTTGTTGGGTATACCTATATAGAAATATTTACATGGAACGTTTTTCGTGYGCAATAATATTACTTAAAAACACGCACGTCACTTTTCTAACTAGACATTTCCACTTGATTAACGTATCATACTAATAAATAATCATTGAATAGTATCAATATTTACATAAATTAATTAAAGTTTGCTTAATATATCTCCTACGAAGCAACAGTTATAATTTGGAGTTTGATTTTAAGCAACATTACGCCCCCGCTTACCGCAATAATAATATTTTACGGGTACCCATGTACGACCACGATTAGAGATAAATATATCTTAAAGTGCGTGCGATTATAAATGTTCTGTATCCTTGGCCAGTAAAGTTATTAGGCGTTATCGTTCGYAGTGTCGTACGAWTTTCTGCGTCTGTAYAGTTCTTTATTCAAATATCGTCCGCCTAACCACCRGCATTACGTTTTTTGATACGTTGCCAACGAATATTATATTATTATTTTAATGTACATTAAAAATACAGCCGCGTGGCTTATAAGGTTTATAAATACACTACCTAATAACTTTCTACATGGACATAATCAAAACGGGTTTATAACGTGAAAATATTTAATATTTTTTTGTCAAATTGTTTTTTTTTATCGAATCGTTTCCACTTGATTTATTTACTAATATCGATTGATTATTTTATTTATATGTAAATATGAATTTCAAAATTTTGAACACGTTGAAAGTCTTAATATTGCTTATTTCCTTAGTTGCGTTTAAGCATCTGACGTTTGACACTCTGACCGCGTTTATTATAACAGTGAAAAATGCTGAAATGGCTGTCCCAATTAAAAACCATACAAACGAGTTATAGATACTTGGYAATTTATGATATTATACTCTCGAAGACAAACATAGTATCAAGCTCATCTTGACAATCAACCCATTCAAAAATATAAATATTTAATGCTATAATATATTATTATTATTCTGGTTTTATATTCAGTTTCATTTTTTAATAAACCGTAGGTATATAGTTAAATTTATTGTAGAATTCACCTTTATACTTTCGTAATTGTTAACGAAATGTGTTGGATTTCTACTTTACGCATTTAAATTCATACATACATTTGGTGACTTTGTACATAATTATTTATTTTGCATACAAAATGAAAAGATAAGGTATCTACAACATTTTTTGTTGTTAAACATTAATGAATAAAGAGTATCTAATATTTTGCAGTACCAAGCTGATTTTTAAAATGAAATAATGATAACATTAAACATTATATTAGAGTGAACATTTTATCATAATTCCAAGTCAAATAAGATAGTGAATGTTTAAACTGTTGGCTGTAAATAACATCATTTTAAGTAGGTGCGTACCCATAAAACGTATTTTAGATTATTGTTCGAGGTTTGAGATCAAACAGGACATCGGTCGTGGTCTAAGTATTATGATTTATAGCCATATACCTACTTTGTAATACTTATACTATTATAAAGTTAGCAAATATTAAATGATCAATATAATATGATAACAGTTTCTATTTCAGATCMAATAAAATTAACAGAATGAATATTATAATCACGTGTACTTAAATTTGTTAATCTATTACTACAAAATAATTGTAAAATTGGCCAAACGTATTTCTACGGTTTGTTCGGATATTTAGCCTATCCGAAACTTCCTCTGAGACTGAAATTATGAAYACTTTTTATAATTGTTCACTTTTTCATAATCAATTATAGTACAATAATGTTTACTTGTTACTATAAATGATTCGTAGTTGATATTTATCTCAGAGTACTCGCATAGTTCGATATGGATACATATAGTAAAAACATTTTACATCGTAATAAATTATAATATTATGACCAAGGACATCATCGTCGGTACATTTATATGTATAAATTATATAATACGTATACGTTTCATATCATCTGTTCTGAGTATTCGTATAGAATAGTGTTCACACATGCCTGTAAATCATTTTTGACTGTTGTTGAGCATTATAAGTTCGTGGGAATCAGTAAATAGGTATACCTTCATGTAATATTCAAACATCGAAAACGGGCTTATTGAAATCCTATACGACCCCCGCACAAAGAGCCGAGTCTGGTTTTTAGGGGATAATACATATATATGTAGTATATTCTATATACCTACCTTCCTTCATAACCTAACTCATATATTATCATTGTATACGTACGACAGCTCAGCGTGTTATAATAATTTACCCGTAGACATATGCCTACGGAATAATACCATTTTAATACTTGAAAATATTATCGTCCGAATATTCTACGTTTAGGTCGGCTTTTAACGTAGGTACCTAGCCATATAGATACTATCATGTAGGTAACGAATATATGCGTCACAGGCGTTTTCAAAATATACCCAGCCCGTCACAGAGCCGTTGGAAGGGGAATCATCCTCGCAATACGAACATAGATGTCTCGGAATGATACGAATGTTTCCTGCATTAGTGTACTACTCTAATATAATAATTTAATATTGTATTGTGTCCATTGATGACGAAATAAAATCAAAAGAAAGTATAGGCAGGACGCAGGAGCCAGGAAATAATGTACGGATTCTAAGTCATACGTATAATGTATAATATGTTTCACATAAAATAAAATTGTCCATCATATTATTATATGTATTAACATAATATCAATAGGTACCTATTACCTCTACCTCTATATTACGTCAATCGAGTACACGTTACCTATTAAATAGAATTTATTTAATGCATGAATGTATATCGTAGGTACGTATACAATAACGAAAATTAACATTTATACAATTTGATTGATTTAATCAATAGGATCATATGCCGACTAAAAGGACTCGATCATGAAAAAAATGTCATAAATAGTTTTCATGTTACGAGGATATTATATAGATACGATAGTTATATATATTAATATTATATATCATAATATATAATATATATATGATCTACTATCTATGAGTGTAAGATATACAATTGTATACACAATACACAAATAACTCATGGGTTACATATTGTATTATTTAGTTTTATAAATTTTACTAGTGCCTACGTATATTAAATTTTAGATATGTCAATAATATTAACATGACTTTTCGGCTTTAATTTATTAAATTTTACTATCGATTTATACTTGATAATTGATAATATAAATGAATGCTACCAATCTGTTATTATAATTAGTTTTTAACAACTGAAATTAGATTTTAAGTTCTATGACTTGTTATATTTGAATCGATCAATTTKTATTTGATTWTAATTTTTAAATAATTAAATTACAATATACATACGGTATACACAATATGTTCCCGAGTGAATAATTGTTTTGGATGGGAATAATCTAATAAATTATCTTTATTCTACCAAGACGTACATATTACAGTTATTTGGTTATAAGTATAATGCTTCAAACTTCTAACATTAAATAATAATAATTATGAACTATAACATTAGCAGATAAACCTAATGAGTGATGATCAAATTAATATTTTAGATAAAAATTTGTTTTATTGATATTATTATTATTGTTATTTTAACCACTGCATATTAGCATATAAATGCTGCAGGACCACATTTAATAATAAAGCTTAGTACTGAAATGTTAATATTTTAATTTAATAATTAATGTAGATACTCAGACATTTTTTTTTATACTAAAATAAGTTTGTACATACGCACTTTTAACTTTTAAGGATGGTATTTATATATATATATATATATAACATGTACATACTTTAACATTAATCATTTATTTAAATAGATATATTTAATGTGATTATATACGTCTCTCAGTTTTTCAAAAATATTTAATATGTTTTCATTATTTATAAGAATGTTCTTTACTATATTCAAAATACTTAAATTGCTGAACTTATCTTGTTTCATACAAGTATGCAACCATGTTTTTATACGTCGCGTAATAGAAAATGATTTCTCATAGGTCGCTGTACTTAAGAGAAGAGTAATAGCTACTTGAAACATCTTAGAAAAATTTGGAAATACTTTAACATAGTAATATAATGTCAAAAAATGCTGTTTTATTTTCTCCAACCTAGAGTTAATGTATTTTACAAATAATACAAATACCTATTGTTATGATCAATTAAAAATGAATAATAATTAAAAACGATACACTTATAATCATATTAGGAAATAAAATAWGAGCTCGTATAATTATTTTAATCAATATAATATAATAATAATAATATTCTATCAATTAGAGTATGAATAATACGAATAAACAATAAACAATCTAAAAATTGATCATCAAGCGTATGCAATTTTTTTCTTTGRTAGGTTATTAAAAACCTTAATTTATTTTTTATTATGTTTTATTCAATCTGTTTCAAAGGAGAACAATAAGAATAATTGATGATAGAAGCTAAGATAAAAATAAAAATAAAAATAAAAATAATATATACAATGGCAGATTTGGCGGATTGTAGAGGCCTCCCAGGGAGGTACTACGACATGAGTGAGATTTTCTTGGGCTAGGTTATTATTGTACATATATATTTACTTAGGCTAGCAGGTCACGACACTACTGTCTTTTTAATCTTTTAGTTGGGTTACCTGGGATAGAAATAGATGATAGGCCAGAGATTAAGGGATTTGTATGGTGGGCTAGGTGGCTATTGAAACGTTTATAATGTGTTTTCGCTAATTCAGAGACATACGGAATTTTGAGGTTGGAATGGAGGGTGTGATTAGAGACAAAGAATGGCGCTTTAAGAATTGTAACTAGAGTTTTTGATTGGAATCTTTGGATGCGGTTGATGTTGGAGATTTTGGCAGCGCCCCATAGTTGAATCCCATAAGTCCAAATGGGCCTGAGTAGGAGCTTATAGATCAGGAGCTTATTAGAGAGTTTCATATGCTTAGATGTTAGAAGTGGACGAAGGAGACGGAAGCGGTCGTTAAGTGTACGGGTTTTAATAATTATGTGAGGTTTCCAGGTGAGGCGGCGCGCGGCGATCAATAAGGATGCCGAGGTATCGTACACATTGGGCAGGAGGGAGCGGTTGGTTATTGAGGAATAGTGTTGGACATATGCTGTGGCGAAGTGCAAAGGTACCGTGGATAGATTTAGCTTCATTCATTTTTACCCCCCCAAGTCTTGTACCACGATTCAAGAACGTTGAGATGATCTTGTATGTAAGAGGAAGCTAGGACAGGGTCTGAGCTGGTTGTTAATATGGCTTTGTCGTCAGCGAAGTCACCGACTAGAGTATGGCCCATTGTATGGGGTGAGGTGGGATGGTTTGAGATGTAAAGATTAAAGAGCATTGGGGCAATTACTGCACCTTGTGGTACACCTTCTAAAAACCTTAATTAACACACGATTCTTAACAAATATATTTTATCTGTTACCATCATATTATTATGAAATAGAAAATAAATATAAAAACATTTTTTTAATGATTTAACAAAAAAACATTTTTTTCTTTTCATTTTGAACTTTGAACTTTGAATGAATTAAAATGTACTTATTTATTCCGAGATTAGCTTATACGAATAATATACGTAGGTACTAACATTTCTAGAAAAATAGTGACTATAATATATTAAATGCGAATATTATGTACTTGAATAACCTTAGGTGTTAGGTGTATAAATTATCAGCCATTTGATATAACTGGTTGACAATTTATTCTTAGTATTGATATTTTATTGTATATTACACTATATAGGCATACTGTTCATAATATTAGAACCCCATAAAGTAAGTAGGTATATAACTAATTCGTTATTGAATTATAGTCATTAAATAATAAACTAAAAMTGAAACTGCACAGTTCAACAAATTTATACAAAAATAAATAAGACTTATAGACATATAGATATACATGTTAGCGTATACGTGTGGAGTATAACTATTTAAAATGAACATATAATCTTAAAATACTTCAGTAAGAAATGCAAAAATTATATTTAATAATCATAACTAAATACAGTCATATATTTTGTAAATTGTATGCAGTGGCGTACCCAGGGGGGGGCTTAGGGGGCTTCAGCCCCTCCCATTGGCCATGTTTTGGAATACATTTTATATTAAAAAAGACAAAGTACAAACCATGATATTTCTAAAAAACGGTATTGAATACAACGTATTATCTTTAGTAACAATGACCTAGTATAAGCAAAGCATAAACGTTGTGTTTATTATGGTACCGAATACCGATATAGATTTAGCCCCCCCCATTCGAAAATCCTGGGTACGCCACTGATTGTATGGTTATAATTTGTAGTAATAAAATATTTTCTCGTTAACGAATTTCATACAAGAGATCAACAATGTTTTGAGAGTATAAAATACATAACAATAAAATAATCGTTTAAAAAAACATTTAAGAAATGCAGTATTTAATTGGGTTAATATTATATAACAACGTAATTTGGTTGTGGTAAATGTGATAGAAAGAATATTTTTGAAGCGATTATAATGTTTTTATATTATGGATTCTAAACTTACTCAGAGAAAAAAATATGCGTAAAGAAAGTTTTAGAGTTGGTTTTTTAAAATATTTAACATCAGTTCCAAAAGAAATGTCGTTTTTTATGATTTTAAGACAATTTATTATTAAAATTTTATTAATAATAGTCTTATCGCTTTTATTTCTCGTTAATATGTAAGTAAATTAATAACTAACAATTTATAAGTATTGATTAGTTTCTGTTATGGTTCAATTTTAAGCATTTCAAAAATATATATCGTTGCATCATTTTGTATTAAGTATAATATACAACACACAATGTAACAGACTAACATAAATTATTTGATTATCTGGTGTTTGCAGTCACTTATAGAAAACCACATAAATTGTGTACGTCTTATCTTGATTAAAAAATACTTCAAGTTAACAAAACCTGCAGGCGAGTCCATTAAATTAAAGGTTTTTTTTGTATTAATATTATACAATTCGTTTGTAAAGTGTAAAGTGCTGTATATAAATTATCGCTAAATGGAACATGTTCGATTCTATACAGATCATTCGCATTAATCCAYACACAAATAATGTTATTATCCACAATCAACGTGATTGATGTGATTTTTACAAACACATGCACAATTACACATATCACATACGTATGTATAAATATCTATATGTCTGTATAATATCATAAATTGATTGTGTTTCAAATTTGTGGTACCTATACGTTTTAAGGCAGTATTCAATACACTATGTATGCGTTACGWTTATAAGTATCAGATCAAATCGATTACACGCGGCGATAGAACTCTTATCCGTTAATAATAATCATAATCATACCTATTTAAATATAACAATCGATGMATTTTAACGATATTCGAGCATAATTACCCGTTAGCCTATCTCCAAAATGGGCATGTGTGTTGAGTAAAGCAATAATGATACTGGACTCACCATAACCGGCTGGTATAAATTAGCAATAATAATAATAATACTGCATAAAGGGAAACCAGAACACTCCGTATACGTATACACATTTGTATTAGGTATAGTGAAAAGAAGGGGTTCGGTTTTCATTTAAACAAGTAGATCAAAAACATTCGTCCCAATCTATTCGCCGAGTTAGTTGACGGGACAAGCATGTTTAAATTTCATTTGCATTGGTTCATATTATTTGCCCAATTCAGTGTAAGTGCTATCACACAATTATACAGTATACTGCCGTCTATCCCGTGATGGATTAATTTATTTAGGAGTCTCCTATTATGTAATGAGTTTTGTGTGTTTATAAACTTTAGGATATGCGACTATTCGAAGACTTAAACGATTATTCTCGCGTCGCTGCTCAGCCGACGCGATATTTAGCCGAYGGCTCTCAAATACCCGTATTGTCTGTAAGTTTCACGATCAAGTACAATAGACTGGTATCGTTCAACGATGTACTTGTATTTAATATGTTTTACTATATAGCCACAATTAAACGAATCAATCGCCGATTCCATCATTYATCCAATTTATAAATTATAATAATATAATTTACTCTATAAAATTGGACTGGTTATAATAATGGGATTCTCTGTTTAWATAGCTTCTGCAGAACAGAACGGWTAACAATCAGAAACCACACCATAGGAAAAACGTGTACTCAGATTGGTCGGATTGGAGCTCATGTTCGGATAGATGTACCATGGTCAGACAAAGGTTAGTACTATAGCGCTCATACTTAGTTCATAAGTAGGTATACACTCAGGCATAGACATGACCGCCAAAATGTGATAAGAAAAAAAAAATCGTACGAATGCGCCAAGATACTAGCTGCTGGTTACCTGTATTATGCCACGCGGTTAATAGATATTAAATACCTAACAGATATTATTAAAGTTAGAGCTATATCGTTCAAAATTGAAGAAATATCTAGTTGTTGAAATTAATCATATAAAATATATGAAAAAAGTTGGTTTAAAAAATTAAAAAATAAAATAAAATAATATTTATATTATATTTTAACGATTGTTGATAATTTAAAATAATTAAAAAAAATATACATATCTACTCGTATATGAAATGTATAAAATATTAATTTTTGCACAGATGATGTGTCATTCTTCTACCTTTGTTCGTAGCATGAGGGCCGTTAAAATAAATACTAATCAATTTTGTAATAAAAAATTTGAATAAAAACCTAATCTATTATGTAAAATGTTGTAAATACGAAAGAAATATAGTTATTTAATTCAAAAGCTTGGATAGGTTAACATAATTTTATCGTACCTGTAACATAATATGTTTAAATTATATGGATACAACCGCGACGCTCGTTCAGACATTGTTTACGATCGAAAATTTGTGGATCGAACGTCGTTACCGAATCATCTTATTGTTTTGTGACCGGTTCGACATGCCCGGGGCTCGTGACGAATTACTACAAACGGCTCAACACAAGTTTTTCGAACAAAGGTTATAAATTATTTTCATAGAATATGTGTTCATTATTTGAATGAAAATGTTGTATTGTAGTCTTAGGTAATGCGTATGATGTGTCAGTGAATTCTACATGTGGAGTTACTATGGCTTCTTCTACCATTCCCGGTTTCAAGACTCCTAGGTTTTTAATTAAAATAATGGGAGGTCAAGAATCTAAGAAATTTCATTGGCCTTGGCAAGTCGCGGTGTTAAATGGATTTAAGGTATTATGATGGTAAAATAAATAATATTTTTCACATTTTTCATATTATATTATGCGTTTTCACCATTTCAGAAGATAATTTGCGGTGGTACACTCATAGCCCCTGGTTGGGTGCTCACAGCTGCACATTGTTCTAGACAAAAATTATTTGTGATATTGAAGGAGTATGATTTATCTATTCATGAAGGTGATGAGATCAGCGTGAGGGTATGTATGTCGTATGCTGTATATGTTTAAAATGAATAACATTGTTTATCTGTTTATGAAGGCAATAAGATCAGATTAAGGGTATGTATGTTGTACATGCACACATTATAAAATATAAACAACATACCATTGTTMATTATATACGATATACCCATTTTATTATGGCGTTAGGTGTTTAGAATTTTCAAATATTTGCCATGTTTGCAACCTTAAGTAATAATTACTATTATTTCCATAACAAATATAGGTTGAACGTATTATAATACATCCCAGATACAATCCAAATACAATTGATATTGATATGGCACTGTTAAAACTACGTGCCTTGGATTTAGGAATAGATGATGGTGGATTTAACTTGCAACCAGCATGTCTTCCATCCMCTGATTTTCAACGGCAGAAGCGGAAGCCTAAAMTGTGCGTAGTTATTGGATGGGGAAAAGTGAAATCTCAAGATTCTCATGGATCTCGAATGCTTCGAGAAGCTAGGGTAGGTATAGCTCAGCATCTTTCCAAAGTAGATAAGAAACGACAAGAAAGTTGAATATAAGTTATTTTAAAATTAATGACTATCATGTTAAATAAGCGAACAATCTATTAACTGTTTCATAGCCACAAAAARGTTTAGCTGACTTATAAAATATTTTTATCTATCAATAACTGACAATATTCATGTAAAAAATATATCATAGGTATCTGTTGAACAAAAATGCAATTTTTACAATGAATAATCGGCTAAATATTTCATAACTTTCACCAATAACATTTTTTAAATAAATTAAGATAATTGTTTAGATATCTAGTTGTACATTTTTGAAATTAAATCGCCCCTCTTATTATGATAATTCTTAATGATGTTTCTGTAAAATAGTATATATGCGTCATGAAGTCAAAAAGTAATAGTGTTGAGGTGACATTTTACATTAAATAGCAATTTTTATTTTAGACGAAAATTGTATTTATGTTAGGTTAGTACAGTATCAGTTAGTTTTAAAATATAATAAAAGATTATATCTTTTGTTAGTTTTGTTGATGAGCCATATTTAATGATATTGAGATCGGGTCTCATGATATTTTGGTTTTTCTCAAAGTAAGGTTAGRTTAGTATTCATTTATAGGGTTAGGTTACTTCAGTAAATCTTACTATCAGATCTAACTAATCCAAGTAATTGCATTTAAAAAATATATAGATAGGTACTTTATTATAACAAAAAAAAAAAAATATTTTTCCAAACGAATAACACGTTTAACGTCGAAATACTTAAATATAACCGTATAATCTATAATGCATAAGCATAAATCTAATACCTATCAGAATATTATCTCCACGAGTATTGTAATAATTATTGTACTGAAATATACTTGCATTTATGCAGCAATCAAAACTATTTCATATTTATAACTTTGTAAGAAAGCAAAACATGTTTATTTTTTTCAATGTATACGTTGTAAAGTATACATTTTCTTTATATAAAATAATATTAATTTAGTACTCATTTATACTGTAGCATAAACTTATTAAAAGTACTAAGTTGAACTGTTGAAGTCTAACTTATTTGTAGAGTTGGAAGTATGAAAAATTTCTAGTGAAACATTGAATTTTTTTATAAAAATATTATTGATGATTATTAATCAATAACCTAACCAAAGAAAATTATCACTAATGAGTGGTTAGTGATTGTTTCTCTTAAGGCCTTAATACTATAAAATTGTGAAGGTAAGTTATGATGATTATACCTAAAAATAAAACTGATTAAAAAAATATATATAAGTATGTATATTTTAACTCTGAAATATTTCACGCATTTGAAATATGTCATGAAATTTTGAAACACTACTTGTTTGGATTCGTTTTATCTGTACCTTACATATTCTATATGGATAAAATAACTTTAACTCTCAGCAGCTAACAGTACATGATTATTAAATATTAGTAGTTTTGATAATTGTCAATTTTTGCGTTTATCTTGTGACACGTCATAATATATGAAATGTGCGTTTGCATTGCTATCTACAGGTCCCGATCGTTAGCCAGAGGACGTGCAGATCTGCGTACTGGCGGTATCAGATCACTGACAATATGTTCTGCGCAGGATTCAGAGATGGTCGGTCGGACACGTGTTCGGGTGACTCGGGAGGGCCACTTTTGTGCAAAATGCGTGGCCGGTGGACGGTGGTRGGTATCACAAGTTTTGGCTATGGCTGTGGCCGGCGCGGCAAGTACGGGATCTATGCTAATGTGGCCAGCCACGTGAGGTGGATCACATCCGTGATAAATACGTCTGGTTATCAGTAAACCGACGATGACTTCCAAAGAGAGTRATTAATTGCACTCATTTATAACAGTTACCCGATCCTGTTCATTTTTATATTATTTTTTTGTCTGTAATTCTATATAAATAATAATTATATGATATATCCATGAAATAATGTAATATAATTTATTTATATTGTATGAAAAAAGATTGAAWGAGATATCATTAAAATGATTACTATTACAAATTTTAAAAATATAATTTGATTATAAAACAATCTATATTATTTTTATTTCAAGGTAGGTTTAGTTACACCTTTTCTTGCTCTCTGCGTGTAGGCATAAGAGATTGTAAATTTTTTTTTTTAGGGTTAGGGCTTCGACATTAGCCTGGGGAACTGTAGGGGAAGGTACTGTAGGTTTTAACATGTGCGTTTTTGGCAGAATTTTGAATGGGCACCCGTGAGTATCTGCCATGCCC